GCCGACGTATAAACAAAACAATAAAAACTAAAATATTACTCGATTGATTGATGATGCTTTACTTCAAGTTCAAGGATAGGCGAGATGGTAATGATGCTATGTGCTGAAAGTGACCGTGCTTTATACGCTAAGACTTGGAGGAATTTAACCCCACCATGGCAAGCCAACAATACGGAGGGGCTGACACGAGTATTCTCACACGAAAGAATCGTTTATTGCATTCTAACGCGCCGCACTGACTTGGTTCACAAACACATGATCTCACATCATAGGGATGGGAGATGTCGACGGAGTATCGATATTGACATTATACACCTAGCATCGACAATTGAGCTTAAACATATCGAAATGAATCACATTAGAAATATCAAAATATAAATATTTGATCATATTCATCATCTTTATTGGAGAAGAATTTGAAAAATAGTAAAAATGAACGATATTTTGACAATGGTATTAGTTACTTGTGTCAAGTTTAAATAGGAGCTTTAATATATTTGTAATTGCCAACTAGTATAAAAACTTGCAAAGGGTTTATTTTGATACATATGAGCCGATAATTGTTCATATTTCGATAAACTGATAGGTGTTAATTCACAGTTTTTTCGCCCTTTTTATTTGATATTCCAATAAAAATTTTCTCAGTAGGTAAGCATTTCAGAAATGGCTTTATATAATTGAACTTTGAAATGGTGTTTAATGATTGTAATAATGATTTGCTTTTGTCGATATGATAATATTAATAGATAATACAAATTGATTTTTATAAACCTTGTGTTGAAAATAAGTCATGTTCCTTCCGGTTCAATGCTGTATGTCGATACTATAATCCTATAAATCGATATCGACTGAACTTTGATGAACTTCGTTCACCTCTAGTGGGACAACACAGCACTTTACGTACGATATAAATGAACAGGTGGTACATTCAACTACTCGACGGCTGAGCGCAAGATTTCTTGGTCATCAAGTGACTCATTAATCAAGCGGACTCTTGTTTGAAACTGTGTGGCGAATAAGATCTTTTTATCCTCCGAGATTAAATTGGGGCTACACAAAATATATGGGTTAAACACTGCTATTAGGTTCCGTGTACAAATCGTGGTAACATCTTTTATGTCATTGCATGAAATTTAAAATTTAGAAGCATAGTTCATAAAACAAATATAAAAAAAATATCTTAAGACTACTAAATTATTGGAGATATTATTAATAGAAATTCTAAAATAACTTGTAAGTATTAAGTCAGTTTGATAATAATTTAGTACTTAAATATACAAAATCTGTAAAAATAATATGGCTAAATGTGAATGATATGGATAAATGGAGATATCTGATTAATCATGGATATCATCTCGCACAATAATTTCTCTACATACGAAACCCATTTTATGGTCTTATTTATTTACGTAGACTCTTTTAAAATGATACGTTAAAAATTGTTTAATATTCTATTTTAAAATCAATAATCCCGTTAAAAAAGCTGAACATATTAACACTTACATAAATATTTAAATGAATCTATGAATCATATTGGGATTTAAAAAAGAAAACACGATAAATTATCTATTACAATCTTAGCTCATTATCCATCTCTTGAATGCGTATATGAAACCTTTTTATATCGTCGATTGAATAATGGTATAAAAAGCTCGCAAAACAAATACAAATATTGTGACTTACAATTAGGTCATGCAGATAAGCCAGAGAAAGTACTTGCACTGAACATGTCGATGTATGTTTATTAACGCTTTTACTGGTGATTGCTGCCTCTATATTGTAATATAAAGTGGTTGATGTAAATTATGGCATAAGCCATTCGAAAATATTCGTACGATTTTTTTAATATCCGCATTCACATGAGTAAGTATCATGCGAATATTTTCTCATGTAAAAGCGTCAACGATCATTAAAGAAGATTCGATATAAATTACTATCCAAACCCGGTTATGAGAAGCTTTGAGTATAAATGCTAAAAGGCTAAAACTTTCCGAATTAATCAAAATATTTTTTATTATTAACTTCTCGTAGGGCAAGTTATTGTATTTGTCCAAAAACCGGAATTATAAATTTTTACATTTCTTCACGTTTTGAAAGTTTCTGAACATTTTGGCATACCTCAGACAAAATGGATGTGTGTGTGTATGTATGGATACAATTTTTCGTCCACGTTTTCGGGCGCACGGATCAACCGATTTGAATGGTTCAAAAAACATTCGATTCCACAGGAGATGTACTGATTGGCTTTTGGCAAAGGCAAGTCCAGCCGTTACGGAGAACGGAGCAAAGAGTGCAGAAAATAGAAATCGAGTTTTTGAGAGATCGAAGCATCCGATTTGAATTATCCAAAAAGCATTCAATTTGTAATGACGGGGAGAAGTGGTGATTCGTTTTTGGCAAAGGCAGGTCCAGCGGTTTTGGAGATACAGAGCTAAATGTGTAAAAAATTGCAGCTTTTGAGAGAACTAAGCGTCCGATTTGGATGATTCAAAAAACTTTCTGCTTGTTTTAACAAAATAATTGCTTTTGGAAAAAAAAATCTGTTTAAATTTTTTTTTCAATTTTCTTTTTTCAAAAAAAAATTTTTTTGTATATCGAAAATAATTCAGATTTTAATTGTAATTCTGACTTGAGTTCTAATATACTTGAAACAAATATTTTCAACTTTGCAAATCAGTTTATATAATTCTTATGAATAGTAGACAATATTACAGTATTTATTTATAATAATCTATTTGAAAACATTAAATATTCCTCGAACATTTCGTTACGGTACGGGAAGTTTCAGCAATTTGCCTTAAGGCACGATGTCATACAAACCACTAGTTTATTCTTGGAAAACAGTACAAAGCATTGAGACGTTGAGTGAAATGTTAATTATAAGATAAAATACGTGTAAATAATACATAAAAGAAAATATAAATAATATAAACGTTTCATATTATATAAATATGTAATTTGTTGCTATTTCTATATATTATATCAAATGGAGTGTATATAAAAACATATACAAATTATAAAAAGTTGAAACGAGGCGAATGAATAAAATGAGCATGCAAACACATTGTTCATAAACACTAATATCATACTAATATATTATTTTGAATACACTGGGCGTATCTTCTAATTTGTAAACAAATTGTCAGCATTCTCTGCTAAATATAATTATTTTCATAGATTGCAGAATGAAAATTAAAAAAAATCTATGTGTTTTTGTAATAATTGCATTTGCTTAAGGACAATTATTTATTGTTGGTCATAAAAACACACACACAAACTTATGTGTGTGTGAACTGACAACATATACTTTTCATATTCCTAAGTGATAAACCTACCCTTACGTGAGTCATTCAACAAACACTTAGCGTACAAATGAAAAACACGGCTACGGAAAAGTGGCAATTTATTTTTCATCATAATCTCTCTCAATCTCGATACATTGGACAGCTTTTTCAAACTGTCCAAACACGTTTTCTCAAGGGCTGCAAAACAGACCGCAAAGTTGCGGTGAGGCTAAATAGAGAAGACTGGATACGGTTTTTAACAACTAAAAAGGAGAAAAATGTATGTTTGTTTGAACAAGTTTCCATTATTGCCTTCAGTCGGTGCCCTACGTTAACATGGTCTGTAGACCGCATTGCTTTTAAAGAGCCAATGTAAGTTTTTTTGATCGATTTTTTTAATAATAACTGTTACTTATATATTGTTATATTACTATGATTGTTATTTTGCTATAAGTTGAACTTCAGTAGTTAATTACCAGCAATATGTTTTTGCGTAGATAATTTAGATGGTTCATAACGATAATGTGTCTCCAAAAGTTTGCGTTGGGAAAGGTTGTGAAAAATTTCGTGGGTATGAATGCGACATGAGGCACCATATTTTTTTAAGTCAAAACGGCAATTTTTAGTTATGCTAATCGGGGACACGGGGCAGGGAGGTTTGGCTTTAAAATAACAAATGCTATTTAAGGATACACTAAAAATCAGTTTTTTATCTGAAAGAATTTTTTTTTAATCGATTTGCTGACTTTTAGTAAGAACTTTCTTACTCAATTATATGTAATACATACTCTTTTATCTGTTTTATCTCTATATTTTTCTCCTGTTTGAGCGTTGTATAAAATTTTATTCAAAAAATAATTAGCACTTGTTCGTTTATTTTTATAATTTTTGTTAATTTACGTATTAGTTCTCTAAAAACCGGGGCAATCCAGGACAAAAGATCTAAATCCGGAACAAATATTACTTTTAGAAAAACCCGGGACACAAAGTGGAAATCCGTGACTGTCCCGGTCAAACCGGGACGTATGGTCACCTTAATTTGACATGTATTTCTTGTTATTTTCGTTGAAGATTAAATAAAATATAAAAAAATATTAACTTAACTAAGGCAAAATGCGAAAGAGAAAGGGAAAGGAAAAATCTATTGAAGAAAAATCAGTTTTTTTATATTGCTATATTATATATATAAGCTTTGTTTAAATGATTATGTTGTGTTGTGTTACCTATTTCCATCATATTTCTGAATATAAAAGTCGTTTCTGGAGATAAAAGTTATTTTGGTGTTTATACCTATTGTTTTTAAGCTATTTTTATTCTAGTCCTAGGTGTGTGTTGAACGTTTGTCGGGACAGCGAGTATATATATATATATATATATATATATATATATATATATATATATATATATATATATATATATATATATATGTGTGTGTGTGTGTGTGTATACTTGTGAATTTATCCAATTCTTTTTTTTACTAAAATTATAAACTCTTTGTATAAGAAGAATAAATGCCTGAAGTTAACGCGTATACTGTTAGCATATAAAAGTGATAATGTTTGAACAGTTTTTGAATATTTGTCTACCCACAAATTTCACCTATTGATCGTAGTGACATCTTAGATTGTCTACAGAATTCGCTAACGGACTTCGTAAAATAATAAAATACTTTCCGGGCAACGTTAGTCACCTCGCACGACACACGCATAATAGTAG